CAATAGGGCACATTTCCAATAAAGGAAATGAATTGAAAATCAAGAAGGCACAATTTTGACTAAGAAATTAATAGGAAATCAATCGGGCACATTTCCAATAATAGAAATTAATAGGAGATCAATAGGGCACAATTTGACTAAGAAATTAATTGGAAATTAATAGGGCACATTTCCAATTAAAGAAATTAATAGGAAATCAATAGGGCACATTTCCAATCAAAGAAATTGATAGGAAATCAATAGGGCACATTTTCAATAAAGGAAATTAATGGGGATCATTTCCAAGAAAATAAATTAATAGGAAATCAATAGGCCCCAATTTGGACAGAGAAATTAATAGCATATCAATTGGGCACATTTGGAATAAAAGAAATTAATAGGAAATCAATAGGCCACATTTCTTACTAAGAAATTAATTGGAAATCAATAGGGAGTATTTCCAATCAAAGAAATTGATAGGAAATCAATAGGCCACAATTCTGTCTAAGTAATTAATCCTAAATCAATAGGGAATGTATCCAATAAAAGAAATTAATAGGAAATCAATTAGGCTCATTTCCAATAAAAGAAATTCATAGGAAATCAATAGGCCCCCATTCGGACAGAGAAATTAATAGGAAATCAATAGGGCACATTGCCAATAATAGAAATTGATAGGAAGTCAATAGGGCATATATACAATCTAAGAAATTGATAGGAAATCAATAGGGCACAATTCTGTCTAAGAAATTAATCCTAAATCAATAGGGAATATATCCAATAATAGAAATGAATAGGAAATCAATAGAGCACATTTCCAATAGAGGAAATGAATTGGAGTTCAATAGGGCACATTTTCAATAAAGGAAATGAATAGGTGATCAATAGGAGGTCAATGGGAAATAAATTGGAAATCAGTGGGAAATCAATGGGAAATCTATAAGAGATCAATGGGAAATCAATAGGAGATCAATAGGAAATCAGTAGGAAATAAATCAATAGGAAATTAATAGGATATCAACAGGAAATCAATTGGAAATCAATAGCAAATCAATGGGAAATCAATAGAAAATCAATAAGGGATCAACAGGAAATCAATGGGAAATCAATGGGAAATCAATAGGAGATCAATAGTAAATCAATGAGAAATCAATAGGAAATCAGTGGGAAATCTATAGGAGATCAATGGGAAATCAATAGGAAATAAATCAAGAGGAAATCAATGGGAGATCAATAGGAGATCAATGGGAAATCAATAGGAAATAAGTCAATAGGAAATCAATGGGAGATCAATAGGAGATCAATAGGAAATCAGTAGGAAATAAATCAAGAGGAAATCAATGGGAAAAAGGGAATTAAAAATGGACAACAAAATCCCGGCAAAGATGAGATTAATTACACCTAATTAGGTTAATTGGCATTGCTATGTAATCATGATATTAATCAGTGATTAATTATTAATAATATTGATTTACTCAAAATTAGAACAAATGATTTACTGTTAATGAGTAAAATTATTAAAAATTCCCTCAATGATCCATTAATAAAAAGTAATTAATAATTAATGAATAGTTAATGAGTTAATTTAAAATAATTTTAAATAAAAAGATAATCACCCTCATAGGTAATGATTAATTAATTAGTGATTAATGCTCGCCTAATTTATAATAAATAGGTTAATTGCACAATTATTCATTAGATTCTAATGTATAATTACCCAATTATTTGATAATTATTGAGTAAACATTAATAAATTATAATTAGTTAATAATTAATTGATTAATAATTATTTACATAATTGCCATCTTAATTTACCAATTACTTAAACCTGTAATTACCAACTAATAACTATAGATTAATTAATAATAAATATTGTATTAATATGATTATTAATTTTTTAAATAATTATTTGCTTAAGTGCATATTAGTTCTAGTTCATTAATAAAATATTCTGCATTTAAATATTCATTATATAGTAATTACCAAGTAATAATTAATTATGTAATTAACTAAACATTCAGCAAACTAATAATTACTTCATTAATGATATAGTGTAATAATTACCTAATTATATTAGCAATTACTGACATCATCAATGCTTAATTCAACACCTAATTAATTACCTAATTAATAATTAATTGCATAATTTCCTAATTTGGGCAAAAATTATTCAAGCATAATTTGTTAACTAATTAGCTAACTAAGTATTAATTATTTATGTATATAATTTACTAATTACTTAAATCAGAAATTCATTATCTAATTAATAACTGAGTGATTTGCTCATTAGTGACCTAATTAATAATTTATTAATTACACTAGTACTAAATGCTTCTAAATGAAATCATTAATAAGACAAATAATTTATTAGGTAATAAATAATTGCATAATTAATTAGATAAGTAATTAAATACTTTTTAATAAGGTAATTTTTAATTACCAAAATGACAATTAGATTAGCTAATTAGATAAATATTTTATTTAAAATCAATTATTTAATTATTTAATTAATTATCTAATTACATCATTGGTCAATTATCTAATTACCTGATTATTCAGCTAATTAATTACCTAATCAACAACAACCACATTAATGAGTATTTAATTGCATAATAATGTAATTAATTATCTGAATAATTAACTAATTAATCAATTATCTAATTAACTAATTAACCAATTATCTAATTAACTAATTATCTCATTACCTAATTAAATAATTATCTAATTATTTCATTAACTAATTATCTAATTATTAATAATTATGTAATTATCTCATTAACCAATCAGTTAATTAAATAACTATATAATTACTAATTAGCTAATTATCTAGTGTCCTTATTAATAATCTATTTTTCTGATTAATTAAATTTCTAATTAACTGTAGCTAATTAATTATTAATGAACTATCTACTTAAGTAATTAGCTCGTTAACAAATTATCTTATTAACTAATTATCTCATTAAATATCTACATCACCAATTATCTAATTAACTATGTAATTAAATATTTAATTATCTAATTAGTAATTAACGAATTGCCTTTTTAGCTCATAAACTAATTAGGTAGTTAATTATTTATTTAATATATTTTAATAATTAATTATATCATTATCTTACTAATAGCCTAATTAACTTATCTAATTATAGCTATAGCTACTCAGTTAATTATCTAATTATTATCGAATTATCTAATTACTTGATAAATTAGTATTAATATTAATGTTAATATACGTTATTTCCTAATAATAATCCAATAATTGCCTCTTTAACAATTACGTTATTAATTATTATTTAATGAATTTGTTATCTGATTAATTATCCAATTAGCTAATTAACCAATTAGCTAATTATCCAATTAAATAATTATCTAATTAATTAATTATCTAATTAGTTAATCTATTTAATGATCTAACCCTAATTGATACTTATTATTTAATTTCTTAATGATATAATTATCTAATTGATTTATTAATTGCCTAATTATTTAGTTATTTAATAATTATAGAATATTTAAATTGATTATGCAATTATCTAAGATAATTATCTAAACTCTGTAATTATCTAAT